GGGCTTGATTAATATTGGGTCAGCATTAGATCCTTTACTTTGAGGATCCCTTCCGGGTGTTTTTTTTGGGGGGTACCCCTTTTTGTGGATTTAACAGGGACCAAAAGCAAGACCGAAATCTCTTCTTCTTCTTTTTTTGACGGGGTTGAATCCTAAAAAAAGACACCCCCTTTCAGGATCTGAAGAGATGACACAATTCGCTGAGGTTTGCAAAGCAACTCTTATAGACTCAACGCCTCAACGCCCGGCCTCAATGCGCTCTGCACCCGTTGGCCTGGGAAAGATAGGGCGAAATCCCTGCACAGTCGAGAAACACATTGAGTTCCAACAAATTTCCAACTCAGCGGGAGAACTCAGCGGGAGAACTCTAGACAGGCTGCGTACAAGATTAGAAACATCACCGTGGACAATGTCCAAAAGTTTAGGACCCCCCTAAAAAGGCGGATGAATACAATCCTGCAAGCCTGCAAGCCTGAAGGTGCCACAAGTTCTCTACACTCACGTGAGTGATTTTGGCCACATGAGATCTACCGAAAAACGGGGACGGATTCCACTTCCAAAGGGAAACCGAAGGAACACTTTGGACTTGTTGGGTGTAAATAATCGGGTTGGGATATGCAATCAGCTCTGAAATCGCAAGACGAAGCTGAACAATGCGAAACATGGGTGTTGGTCAAAAGGTCCGTGATACATGGGATGACGACTGGTTGGGAAACCACCAACAAGTTGAGACTTCCCACTAAAGAGTGCTAACTAGAGGCATGGAAAGCAGCTGTCCATCGGGAATTCAAGAAATGATGGGCTGTCTAGCACCTAGCCGACAAGGGAGTCGAGAAGCACCTGAATGGTGACAGGACCCATGGAAATACGGGAAGAGGGGCATGAATCACGAGAGATTATCTTCTTTCAGTCACTTGCATTATGCCTTTGCCATTTGCATTCTTGACACAAAGATGAGTTCTACAAAGTACGAGCCGTCCCGTCGCTCTGGACTATTTGATTTCTAATTGGTCAGCCGTGCGAAGCAAAGGATGAACAGCAAACCCGGAAAGCTCCACAGAGACCAGCGAAAGCAGTGCACTGCGGAGAGTTGCCCTGGTTCACAAAACGCCTCTAGTTACAAGGTGGTGCTCCTCAACAACAACTTGCACGCACCTCCGGGGATGCAATGATGCAACATTGTTTTGAGTGCCCAAACATCTCCTGTCTGGGGGGAGATACTCTCCCTTGGCTGTTTGCTTCCCCTTGCAGTGACTCCACTGTGGATGCCTTGCTCCAAGCCAAAGGAACCATGTCGTGTAGCTGCCATGGGATGGTCTTCCAATTAGCCCGCGAACTTGAGCTGGCACCACAAACACGGAGCTATGGTTTTCCAGTGAATTTGGGTCAAGCCACAATGAAGTTCGCAAGGGACATCTCCAGGGCCAATCGTGGGTATACTTCAAAGAATGCTCATGTTTTTGTTGTTTGGCGATGTGCCAAGTCCAGCGCCTGAAGCAAGAATTACATCCGCAAATACAGAACCCGGCGTTTCGCTTTGACCAACGGTGAACGAATCCTTAGTGGTGTCATAACCTCTGGTACAAGGCCTACCCAAAAGCGCATACAGGGTTGAATTGTCCTTCAAAAGTTGATCAATGTACTCGTGCTTTTCATTGAAACGATCGACACTTTTGGAGGTTCCCTTTAAAGGGCAATGGAGGAACCCTGGCATGAGGATTAAGCGCGGATATGCGCATGGCTGGGACTGTCCCGCACTGACCTCCCGGATTTTGAGGGCTCGCTTCTTGTCCAATCGAGCCATCCCAGCGCTTGAAAGCGCTGGGATGGACTTTGGCTCGAACATGATGGTCCAAATGACGTCCCTGCCCTATAAAACCCCTTGGTTGACGTTGGACGGGGAGCAACTTTTTAGATTTTAGCAGTTAAGTGGTTGGATTTCAAACACTCAACCACAATAAGCAAACATGTAAAATGTTTCCCAACAACCATGACCCTGGGATTCGGTCGGCTTGCGATCGTGAGTCGAGTCATGTCCCGAACTCATGGACTCGCAGCTCACAGAAGTCCAACCCCCAAGCTCTGCTCCATGGCTTTGTCTCCTTGGTTTCCATTTTCGCTTCCGCCAATAGAAACCCACCACTGAAAGGCGTCCCGTGCCTTTTTTTCTAAAAAAAACATCCCGTCAAAAAAAAAAAAACACCTCCTGAGGGGGATCGCGGCGGTTTGGATCCGAGGTTGGCTTCACTCGAGGCGCTGGAGAGGAGGAGCAGCAGCTGCTTGCGTGGCTTATCGCCTTCAGCGACGGCAAGCTGAAGGGTCTCTGCCCAGCTGTGGCAAGAAAGGGCTACCCTCCCAGCCACTAAAAAGGAACAGATCTCTGTAGAAAGACTACTTTCCTCTTGGAAATGTTTTTTTTTGCACTTCCATGTTGGTTGGTGGGAGGGTAATTGGCTTGGGTCTTGGTGGTTTGGATTTGGATTCGAACCCCTTGTAACTGCCCACCGAACCACCAAACCAGCGAACCACCAAACCACCTCGCAGTCTGGACAAACTAGGCAGAGAAGTAAGAGTAGTACACGCACCAAGGCATCACCACAAGAGATACTGGAGCACAACGTTACACACCTTCGATACAGGAGTAGGTGTCCTATGCGCGTACAAGCCAGAGCCAAGAAAAAAGAATCACCCAAATCAGAACACTCAAAAAGCACAAATCAGGCACTAGCACAGAGAGATTCTAGCGAAATGCTGGCAATCTTTGATGCTGTGGCTAATCCCTTGCAAATAAATTGGCATGGAACCTCGAAAGGGGATCTCTAAGAAAGACTGCAAATCACAGCCTGTTGGGGATGCCATGATCATGTGCAGCGAAAGCTTCACGTGACTATTATATGTTCTGACTCCATGCCATGTTCAGCAACTGGCCCTTTCAGCCTGAACCATGTCATTTCAAAGTCTTGAGGGCAGGACACATGTCGGAAACAAACAAGCGCATGTGCATTGTGAGGCTTGCACCATCACAACATGACAACATGAACCCAAGCATGGCGCGATACACCTTGCACATGCCAAGTCAAGATGTGTTTGCATGCCCACAAAGAAAAGTGGCCTCTTGATTGTGCAAATATGTCGTGAAACTCAAGAGTGGGCACACTATCCATTGGAGGGCGGGTCGGGTTAATCATTCAGGAGGATTCACAAAAGCCCACGTGCAGAGTATGCTTTCGCAAAAGAGGAGACAACCAACGCCTGCAATTTGGCTGCAAACTAGGCTTACAGCCCTTTGGCAAAATGCAAAGAAAAGGTCTAAGCACCTACGGTTAAATCCACAAGAAAGTCAGGGCCCCGATCGGTGAGCCTCCAGTGGGCATTCGGGCGCCCGCTGGTTTTTGCGGTGCCCATTCAAACTCCCGGCCTAAAACCCAGCCGTTGTTCACTTGTTCAGGCCTGGGAAGGGTGGACTTGTACCCAGCCTGGGAAGGGTGGAGTGAGTGCTTTTACAAGGGGAGAGCAACTCAATATCATTAGGGGGAGCTGTGTTAACTTGCGCGCGCTCAGGCTCATCTTTTCATCCACGGCCGCAAGCGTTCTGAGCTTCCCAAACCGTTTGTGAGTGCAGATTGCAGGAACTATGCGTTTTCGATCAAACTTGGGCATGTTAAAGTTTGGGGAACTCGTTTTGAGCTATGCTTGAGGACTTTGCAAACTGAGGGTGAACTTTGTGAAACAGTCGTGAGTCAAGTTTCCACGCTCGGGCTGTTTATTTAGAGAAACAGGGCCTTGCAGCACAAAAGTAAAGAATCGAGCTTGAGAGTCACCAAACCCAGGGCTGAAATTGGACAAAGTTGGGCTGACCATTTCTGCGCACCCCAAATCCTCGGAAAATGTGACCAAGAGGCGGCCAGGGAACTAGGTAGGATGTACCTCACAAGCGTTCAGCTCTTACTCCCTCAAGGCCTACATTGTTGGCTGGCGAGGGGCAAGCGCTTTTGCAACGAGCTCAAAAATACTTGCTGGTGCTCAGAAGGGAATGTGCGAATGAACCTAGGGATTCCCTTAAAGGAAGCCAAAAAGGGATGGTTTAGGGGGGTCATTCTTTCATTCCCTGCTCAGCACCAGCAAGATTAAAGGATCGCAGACCGAATAATTACAGCAGTATTCAGAAAGAAACACTTCAGTCGTCTGCAAGCATCCGCCCTGCTGACCCTTGGTGCACTGCTTTTTTGCTCCCCGTAAAGCATTCCGCAGCTCAGGCTTTTCCGATCACGCCTTCGGCGCAGGCTGAAAGAGCCGTGCTTGAAGAGGCATGCTTGGGGGGATAGCAGGATGCAGCTCCCGAAGGCCATACAAGCCACACACGTCTGGTACAAGCACAAGTTCACTCAGAACCTTCTCACAACAGACCTCACCAAAGCTGCCAATGCGAACAACAGCGCATTAAGAAAAGAATCCTTCCGCACCATGCCACTTCGGCCCTCAAATAGTGAAGCCGACTATTGATATGTTGACCGGACCTCGCGTGAAGTTTGCGTCCGGCCGTAGCGGCTCCTGAATCAACTAGAAGTTCCGGTGCTAAAGTGGATCTCACATCGAGCTTGCGTAGCAATCGGGACCTCCGCAAAGACTGCCGATTGAAAACAAAGGCTGGCAATTCAACCAATTCAACAAGGAACAAGTCCGTCCCATCTCTGTGTGGTTTTGTGAGGGATACCATTTTGCGGGTCCCGACTGGAACAGAAGGGTTCTTCACCCATTCATCAGGTCTGCTTAGGCCCAGGTTGGACAAACTCTTTGTTCGTTTCAGATCCTGGGGGACCCCTTGGTGGACAGCGCGGGGCTTCAGGCACCAACCACCAGGTCGGGCAACTTCCATCAAGGTACCCGGACCATCCCCAGAAGGGGATCCCCTCCTACAACACACGCACACACACCATGCCAAGAACTGGGCTTGCCCCAAAAAGGGCGGAAATACCAAAAATGGCAACGTTCTTTTTTTTGGTTTCCCTGGAAAGCCATCTCAGAACGGGCGAGCGATTGGAAAAAGGGAACCACCCGGTTCCGGTCCGCGCTCATTCTCAGGGCTTCTGGTGCAAGTCCCGAGCTTTCCGGCGTGATAAGAGGAGCTGCGGAGAGATGAGGATGTAGTGCCCTAAGGGCCCCACCGTGGTGGTAAAGCACAAGCACAGGCACCTCACGGGCGCGCTTTATGCCAATTGGGGCATAAGAACATTTAAAGGAATGGTCTCCAAGCATAGAAATGAGCTTGGGCTTCCTTTTCTTGATCAAAGACACCCCAAGGGATGCCCTCGAAATACGACATGCACACATTCCCAAGCCAATCTTTGTCCAAAGTGACATCCTCAGACACCCCTCCGAGTGTTTTAAACGCCATCTTTAAGCCCAGACCGCCTTGATGGACACTGGTGACCACAACTGTAACATGGGTTGGTTCCCTTATCAGGGTTTGCGGCACAGGTGGCCTTTTGGAAAAACGGAACAAAACCCATCTAAACCAGTGGAACCCATCTATTTTTAACCAAACTAACCGATCAAAAGGACGCCTATGGTATACGGCTATCCACTTGCAAGGCCCACTAGATCTGAGACCCAACACATCACGACATGAGCGCCCCACATGGCAGCCAGGGGCAGCAGCAAGCCGCTGCTATCCCAGCTGAGCAGAGACACCAAGAACCTCAGAGAAATCCCCAGGGCCACATGGCTGTGGGTCAAACCCCTGTACCCCCAGTGAACACCCCAATCCCAGCTAAAATGGACTAACATGGGTGATGCACCTAACTAGAAAGCGGCCCTTGTAGTATCTTGAGTCGTGGACAAAATGACTTGTGTCAGCAAGAGGAGCCCGCAAGTGGGCCCGCCATTTCTTCCAACTAGCAATAGACACCAAGCAGGTTCGTCAGTTGCGCGTAGCTAAAGCCAAAATTCATTGTCCCCGATGGGACTTTGAGTAGACATGAGCAACCTCCAATGCGTAAGTAGTTTGCAAAAAACTCGTGGCCTTTGCTCACATCAGCTGTTTTGCAGCTTTGCGATTCCCGTAGAGGATGTGAGAAACTGCGAGCTCGCCTGGTGGCTCTTATGTGTTGAAACTTGCTGAGGCACCAGTTGGCCTGCGTTACGCTGCCTCGAAGGATGCGTCCGTCCTAAGCCCTACCAACCATGTGTTGCTCCTGCGTGCGTGATCAAACACGAGCTTTTCTCAGGGGGCTTGGGAGGGACACATGGGGCGCATGCGAGAAGGCCATGAACATCGCCCTGCCCCCTCCTCCCAAAGAAAAGGCTGAGGGTCGTCCAATTTTCCTTGGTACCCCCTAGGTGAAAGTTGAACAACTCACAGGAAGGTTGAAAACCGAACCGGAAAACGGTTAACCGAACCGGTTTTCAAAACCGCAAGAAAACCGGAAACGAACCACAAACCGAGCCGAACCGAACAAAACCGAACCGCCCCCAGGTTTGCAGGGGCAGCAAGCGTCAAGGCAACAAACCAGCATTATTGGCCGCTTCGTGTTCTGATTTTTGCTTCCGCAGTGCTCGCAACAGTGTTGCGAGCACTGCGGAAGCAACACACGAAACACCGCTGAAATTTGGCAAGCAAAAAAAGCGGCCCACGAGCGGTCTCCCGTTCCAAAGCGGCAGCAGGGGGATTTGAGCCCGCAAACTTTTCCTGAACTGCCGGAATGGCCACGGGTCCGAGCAGCGGATTGCCCGAGCACCCTGTTGCAGCCTGGCTGCACCAGCAGCGCGGAAAAAAACAACTTACTGACGGTCATTGGGTTGTTTTTTTTGTGCCGCCTTGCCCCGGGCCTGCCCTGCCGTTCCCCAACACCCCACCAGCCTGATTGCCAGAGCTTTTGGCACGCTTAGCAGGCCACTGCAGCTGAGGCCCCTTTGCTGCACGCGTCAAGGCAACAAACCAGCATTATTGGCCGCTTCTGGTTCTGATTTTTGCTTCCGCAGTGCTCGCAACACACGAAACACGGCTGAAATTTGGCAAGCAAAAAAAGTGACCCATGAGCGGTCAGTGGCTTGTTTTTTGCGCTGTTGAGCTTTGACTGCAGAGATGCTTCCCAAGGCCACGTGCGCGGAACAAAATGCTCAGCATCAGTCAGTGGCATGGTTCGTTTGTTTGTTTTTGTGTTTGTGAGTTTGTTTGTTTGTTTGTTTGTTTGTTTGTTTGTTTGTTTGTTTGTTTGTTTGTGTTTGTGTGTGTGGTTGTGTCTGTGTGTGTGTGTGTGGTTGTGTCTGTGTGTGTGTGGTGTGGGATGGCGATGTCAGATGGATGGCGATGCCAGAGATGTGGAAGTTGGCGAAGCGTGGGCGAAAGCAGACTGAGATACCTAGAGCCTTATCATACTTTTCTGCGCTAACCGTGCAAACCGGCAGGTTTTGGAAGGTTATGAGTAACTGCCACTAACCGGAGAAAGGTATTCAAAAGGTTTCAGAAACCGAACCGAACCGAACCTAACCGTGGCCACCCTGAACTCACTTGCGACTCACAAAGAAATGAGATCCAAGTTTTCGGTGAGGCTTCTTGGTGCCAAAAAGGCCAGCCAAGAAGCTGGATGGCCTCCGTCATGCGGTCCCTGAATACAAAGTGGCACACATAGCATCCCAGCCTGTGCCGCCGGGAAAAAGGGAAAACAGAAAAGCAAACAAATCAGGTCAGAACCAACACCGATTGGTATGAAATGGTCTACCCAGCACCATAATTACCAAGAATCAACAAAGGCAGCGAACGCACCCATTTGTATGGCAAGGGGACTATCGCTAAGGTTCACCTACCCAGGTTTTCAGCCAGGGCTTTTGAAGCATCAGAGCCCTCCCATGTCCGGCTCTGATCCTTTGATCGACCCGCGTGGGAGAAACAGTAACACCCCGGCACTTCAAGAGCCACCTTCTAAGGTCCAATACTTTGAACTGGATATGCTCCGAAGTATCTAGGCCCAGCTACCATGTGGGTACAAAGAAACCCAACCGAGATGGTGGAAAAATCTGGTGCTCACATCACCAAGGGAAACTAGGACACCTAAGACTCAGCATTCACGCCCCAAATCGGCGGACCAAAACACCATTCTCCAAGATGCGAAGACCGCCAGGCCGAATCTTTTTTTTTATCGCAGAACAGGAGAAAAGCAAGTCAAGAATCTTCCAGCCACTTCAAGGTAGGCCAGGTCTGTCTTTTTTCAGGCACTCAAAAGGTGCCGTTCGTTTTGGTTTCCCCTTTAAAACCATAAGACATGGGTAACCCTGCAAACACAAAGCGGCCCATATGTAAGCAATCAGACATTAGCACTGCGGGTCTCGTCATCCCCCCAAAAGAACAAAACACAAAACAAATCTCATGGAGATGCAACACTGAAACAATTGACATGCGGGGGCCAAACCCTCTGTCAGTTGCAAGTTGTCAGCGCCAAAAAAAGAATCTCAAGGATCTTTCAGTCAGATCAATGCTGTGTTTGACGTCTTTTTGTCAACCTGCCACAATCTGGGAGGGTTCTCTATGAACCTTCAAAAAGGGCGATAGCATAATGCGAATGGAGGGTAATGTTGTCCCAATACTTATCAACCCCAGTTTATAAATAGGGACCGTGTCCCTGGCTTTGGTGGAAGATCCTCACCGTTGGAGCCCGCCCCTATTAATGAACTGGGGTTGAATCATATGGGAACAGTATGGGTGTCTCTTTTTTGTACCGCACCCTCCTTTCGTGGTTTTGGTCTGAGGGTTTGAGGGCTTGAGAGTCTGAGGGTTTGAGGGTCTGAGGGTTTGAGGGTCTGAGGGTTTGAGGGTCTGAGGGGATACTCTAAGAAGCAACTGAGGGTTGATTGGAATCAACTTGTATCAACCGCTTGAGGACTTCTCTTTGGTCCTCTGGGCTTATCCATCTCCTCGCCCTTTTGCTCCCCGAGGGAGCAAAAGAAACGCTTTCTTTTACTTTCTTGTTGTTTTTTCTTTGGGGGGGGTGCTTTTTGAACCCCAAAATGTGTTTGTGTGTTTTTTTTTGGGGGGGGGGTCCCTTTTTGAAGCCCAAAAGCCGCCAAGGGAGCCACAGGCCCAACGCCCCCTTTTGAGGCATTGGAGCTTCGACCGCCCGAAAATATCATTTCCACATATGCCATGTTGGGGTGAACTGTTGCTGCAATTGAATGCCCGTAGCAAATGTTGCTATTGGATTGGCTGTTGGGTGTGTTGCATCTCCCCTAATTGCGTGTTCCTTCTGTGCCCATAGGGTTTTCAGCGCTGAGGATGGAATGAATGGCAACAAACACATGGTGACTCTCTGGTTTGGGAGCTTCCGGGATCTGGAAACACAAAAACATGTTTGTTTCATCCCTTTGGGTTTCGATTCATAAACATATTAGTTGTCTCAAAATCGGAATTGGAACACCCCAAAACGGCAACGGTTTCCTTTTGGTTTCCTCTTTAAAACCAATCAAAGCGGGGACTGAACCAAATTCCGGCCATACAAGTTTCTCAAAACGGTGGTTGAGAAACACACATCTGGGCTATGCTCCACGGGGTCCCTTCTCGTCAACCGCCACCGCTTCGCGTCCCGAGATCTCCGATCGAGGCACGTGGTGTTGCCCCACCAGGAGGCATTGATGGGCCAATACACCTGAGCCACGGAGTTTGCCGTTGGATTTTTTTTCCGACGCGGTGGAGGGGCTTCACCGGAATGCCCGGGAGGTGTCACCGAAAAAAACAAAGAAACCACGCCCAAAAATGGGGGCGAATGACACTTACCTTTCGAGTCCAACGAAAGTGGGCAGAATCACGAGGATTTGTTTAGGACTGGAAACAGTACAAAACCTCACATGGTCAGCTGCCACGTTGGAAAGAGGGTGTCCGAGTATCCCCCCCCCCCCCCAATTTTTGGACCTGTGGAACATGAAGTGAGATTTGTGCAGGTCGCGCTAATAGTCGTCATTTGAGTCACAATCAAAACCTGGTCATAAAATTGCCTACCCAAATGCAGATGAGGAAGTTGCAAGGCGGCGGCACCTGTTTCCGCCTGGGACTGCCCCTAACCTTCATCCACCCGGATCTTTCGGTTGGCCCACTGCCAAAGAACAAATCATGTTCCGTCCGTTTCCTATGACCCCGAACAAACAAACACATTGACACGCACCTTCTCTTTGCGGAGACCTGCTCTTCTCTCCATATCATGGCGAGTAAAGATGCCCCCCTACCTTAGTAAGACAGACCTTGCGGCCGTCAGCTGAGCGAAAAACCGGTGAACACTCCTGGCGCTCGAACACATCTGAAGGGGAGCAGTTGGCACCAAGACACACCTAGGTTCGGGCCATGGGAGGCCCACAATGACAATCAGGGCCACCCCCCTCCCCCAATCAACACTTCTAGGGTGGGGGCATCCCTTCGGCTTCAACTTGGCCAGGTCCTCCAGATTTGAGAGGTTAGAATAAGTGGGTACCGACCTTTTTTCCTGCTTCGTCTATTTGAGTAGGGGAACCGAATCTCCCTCCCAAAAAAGGAACGGGTGAGAAAGTAAGGGCACCCTTCCGCTGGACCTGGTGTAGCCCCGTCCCGGCGCCTTCCAGGGGTCTGCGTACCGCGGAAAGCGCGGCGAAAACTCTGGCGGGGTCCTGTTCCATTCTCTTCAGCCATCGCTCTTTCCAAAAACCCGGATCCGTTTTCCATGGGTTTCCAAGCGAGGCTTTCTGGAAAGATTCGGATCGGCTGCAGAATGGAAATGGAAGGTACGGAAGATGAGGGAAGATGAGGGAACTTTGAGAAGGAGCTTCTCTACCTTTGTCATGGTCATGACCCAGGCTAACATGGAAGCTCCCGAACGGACCCCTTTAGAAGACTTGGCTCCATTTGCAGAGGCCACTTGGGGGAGCTTCCGGCTGATAGTCTGAGGGAGTGTCCCCCTAGAACATGGATCCTTACATGATACACCTGACCATTGCTACATTTGTAAATGGTGGTTGCCAACTTTACTTCGGTGTTGAAAAAGCAAGATGTGTCAAATGGTAAGGCAAAAAGGAGATCTTTTAAGGCGCCCCGTAGAAAAAACCGTCTCCATCCCCGCCAAACGGGACGGGACGACGCGGGACGCCGGGGTACGGTGCCCAAGGCAAAGAGCGCGGGCTGTGCGAAGGTGACGAAGAGCTCCAGCAGCTGCATGGAGCCGTCCTGGCCGCTCTCCAGGAGCTGGTTGGGGTAGTGAAACAGCGCCATGGACATACCTAGCTCGGTTGCAAATCGCAGACCGGTTTGTTTTCATGGGGGCTGGGGGGAGGATACCTCAGATGCCGCAGACCATTTTGTTTCATGGGGGCTGGGGAGGGAGGGAGGGAGGGAGGAATACCTCAGACCAGAATTCTAAAAGGTTTTGGATTTTCTGCGAATACACCCACCGGGTATTCTTACCCCTTAAGACTCCAAGCGCTGGGGAAGTTAATCTTTTACAAAAATATAGCCCATGTTACCCAAAAAGTTGAAAAGTTGTGTTTTTTAAGAGGTAAGTATTACATACCTAGCAGCTCAGACGAAATATTTCTGGCTGGGGATCACAAACATGTTCATGGGGGCTGGGGGGGGGGGGGAAGACCCAGAATTTCCAAATCAAAGACCAAAGGTTCATAAAAGCTGGGGGGGAAGGGGAGCGAGGGAGCCCACATCAGCCCTTATCACGAACCATTCCCTCCCGTGGAAGCCCCCGGAACTTTTTGGAGGGCCGGTTAGTCTGAGGTAGTTACTGGTGATACATCAAAAAAAAAAACAAGGACCAACCACCTTTATAAAGAGAAGATTCCCTTGTATCACCGAAGTGGTTGGATAAACCCCGAGTGATCCCACCACCCTCCTAGCGCGTTGCTCCAAGTACCCCAGGCGCAGGGCCCACCAAGTCAAGTGGAAGACCTTTTGTTGCAGGCCCAGAATGGGAGCTCCATGTGGCAGAGTCACGCTGAGTTGAAGTTCCGTACGCAATGCTCTGAAACGAGCGGCAGGTCATTCTTAGTTGCTCCAAATGCAGGATGGCTTTGTTCGAATAGGTAACCATTTTTGTGAGGGAACCAAAGTAAGATGCCTATTGGCTCTAAATGGAAGCGTCTAGAGCTGACATGATGAGCCAAGAACAAAACAACCGGTTCCGCTATTTATACACATACCCACACAAGTGGGGGGTTCATGTGTAAGTTTGGCAGCAGCCCCTCTATGTCCTGTTTCCAGAAGAGTTGCCCACAAGTGTCATCTCGTTGACCGGTGGAAGTACTCTGAAAACATTGAACTTCGAGACACCCATCACCGGAGTTTGGCAAAGGATTCCAAGGACCCCCTCCCCCCAAAAAAAGAGGTTCGTTTTGCAAATCTGCGGGGCAGATTCAGGACCAATCGGCTCACATGGAAACAACCGTCGGGTGTCCGCAGCCCTACGAAAACATGACTGAAGAACTATCAAACATGGAAACTAGGGAAACAAAACACTGAGCACTCAAATGATAGCTAGCAAAAGGTAAAACAACATATATATATATATAGAGAGAGAGAGAGAGAGAGTGTTTGGACTTATGAGCTATACAAACCCATGGTATTTTGTGGGTGAATGTGGGTTTTTAAATGGATACTCGTTGCGCCAGCGCAAGGCAGAAATCTAAAGACCTTTGTAGGCCCCAAACATGCGAACGATGCTGAGCAACACTGACCCACCCTGAGGCACTCTCTTTCCGGGCCCCTTTTCAGGTTGCAACCAGGCGAGATTTGGCCATGGGTCAAAATCCAAATCGTACCCCCAGTGAACATCCCAATCCCAACTAAAATAGGTTCTAAAATGGGTGGTGAATTCACCTACCAAAATGGGATCCATCCCCCTTTCTGGGGGTAGTTTGAGAGCCCCCTTTTCGGGCTTGTCAGGCTGAGATTCTTTCAGGTTCCTTTGGGAGCCTATGACTGTATGCAGGGATTATCAGTGCAAGCAATGACCCCCATCTGCAAAAGGTTAATCCTATACCGCCAGGGGTCGAAAGCCCGTACCCCCAGTGAACATCCCAATCCCCACTAAAATCGGCTAAACTGGGTGGTGCACCTACCAACCAAAATGGTACACAAACGGCTTTGACAACCATAGCCAAACTTTTTAGGGGGTTCCCTCATCTCTCCAAGGCGCCCATGATCATGCTGCAGGCCGTGGCGGCGGCGGCCCAGACGGGCCCCTGTGGCGCCCGCTGGGAGATCCACTTCACAATGGGCCGGAGGTAGTGGAAGGAGAACCTGCACTCAGTTGCCTCTTGAGCACCTGGTAGAACTCAGTTGCCCTCTAGGGACCCAGAACTAAAACATCACTACTCTTGGTATGGTAACTAAAAACTTTGTTTTTTGCAGACCCCCAGTAAAAATGAACATAACCAAAAAACTAAAAAACCAAAAAACATGCCAAGAACAGTGAATCTAAGGTTAACCTTTTGGCACCTCTACGAAAAATGGACCAACATGGGAAAACCAAAAGGTCCAAAGGTCAATTCGCTTTGGACAACTGAGAGAAAGCTAACCCTCTTGGGGCTAGGCGAAAATATGAACCGACATGAACAAAACCCAAAGGTCAAAAGGTGGGCCCAAGGGGCAAGTTCAAAAAAGCGAACCCTTCTGGGGCTAGGCTTAAATATGAGCCGAAATGGGGAAGCCGAAAGGTCAAAAAGTTGGCTCAAGGGGCAAGTTAGTGCAACGTGCGGAATAATTATGGAACTTGGACGCTCAAGTAGTAAGTAGGTCTTAGCCAGAGTTAGAGGTAGGGTGACTTGGGGAAAAACCCGAGTCAATTGGGCATGGCCAACCAATTTGTCTTAAAAAGACACCATGGTCCTTGCAGGGTCGAACAATTACCAAATCCTTGATGATTCCAGCCAACTGGCAGGGTTCCCCAGAAGATACACGAAGGCTTTTCGAGCCTCAAAAGCTCAAGCTGAGTGTGTCGTTAAGAAACAAGCCCTTAGGAAAGGCACTCTCAGGTCATGTTGATTCTTTTTTTGTGCCTGGACTTTGTTTTGGTGGCTCCCCCATTTGAGACACCCTTTCAATGCCAGGGCACACGTAAAAGGTGCCATACCAGGCGACCCAGCGATACCACGCGTAGCAGCCGTCAAAGAGCCACACAAGGAGGAACTGCGCAAAGTGCACGTTCCCGCTCAACTCGCAGACTTCCGCGCCGTACACGGGCCCCAAATAACTGCAGAAAGCCGCGAGTGCGACCTGCACAGCTTGCGTCAGAAAAAAACAAAAATGCCGTCTCATTCGTGGTACCCTCCCACAAAGGAACAAATGTATTCGTTCCGAGGCTCCCTTCCCAACATTGGCTTCCCACAAAAAGGTCTGCGCACCAACCCATCTTTGAGGGAGCATACCAACCCATCTTGGAGCGTGAAACCAAAGTGGCTAAGTGGCCTGGGACACGTCTGCCAAAAGAACCCCCCCGTGAAACGCCTCTCCAAGCCGGAAAGGTGTCAATGAAGCCCTGTGGATAGATGAAATCCATGTCGCGGCACCTAGGAAACCCAAGGCTTTCTGAGGATGTTTCCTGCAAATACCACTTCGCCAATCGGCAAAAATCAAGCGATTCAATCTCCATTTGCTGCACTCTCTGAATCGCCCGTTTTCTTTCGAGCAGCCAGCTTCTGTACTTGGAGGTGTCTTTTTTGGTGACACCCTTGGATTGCTTTGTAAAGAACCGTAGCAGCAGTGTTCTTCATCCTGGGGCGATATCTTAGTCTCCAAACCTTGCTGTCGCCCAATGGGTTCGTCAGCCGCTCAATGTCTTTCATGCGGGCATGCAAGGAATCATCAATCATGTTTTGACCCTGGACTAAAGTGTTGAATGCCAACATAGCGGAAGAACCGCCACACTGTTAGGCATTTATTTACATGTACGAAAACAAACATCTCTTTACACTCTTTGATAACCTGTCTACTGCTCTTTGCAAAACAATGGGAATGATTTAGTGGCGTGACTCCGGTTGAAAGTTCGGTTCAGCCGTGATTCTCTAGCTTGCGACTCGCCAACCGTACCAATTCCAAACCAAATAATATTGATGTTCTGAAGCGAAACAAACACATCGAAAATTTAGCTCGAATTTACTCGCAGCACCAATCAATTAAAGATGCCCCCAATGCCAAAGTGATTGCCCCCAATGGGTCAAGGATCCACTCAGGACAAGCATGGCTTGCGTTTTCTAGGCTGGAATTAGGACCACAAAAAAGCAAAAAAGCAAAAGGGGAGCTAATTCTGGGGAAGTTTTCGGTTTCCCGAACGGAGATAACCCCCCCCCCCCAGAAAAAAGAAGAAAAACAAACTACGAAAAGTGGGTGGGTTCCTTTCCTTTCCTTTGCAAACCAACAGAAAAGGAACCCTCAAGTGTGAACCTCCCCCCTCCACAAAACAAAAAAGAAACCCAACAAAACCGAAGGAAAGGAAAGGAAAGGGGGAAACAATGGTAGGTTCCTGAGTTGCCAATAAGACGTCCATTTCGATTCCGATTTCGGGCTTCCGGCCTGATATCTCGGTTGCACGCGGAAGAACTCGCAGCAGGCCAGGTACAGCTTGGATGCGAAGATCATCAGCAGGTACCAGCCTAACGAAGTTCCATGGCTTAACGCTTTCAAAGAAAGCTTTGACCAGGGGTGGGCTACCTCCAATGTCTGGTCAATCTGTAAGGTCCTTCTGCTTTCTTGGGATGACAATTTCTCTTGCAAACTGGTACGCTTCTCTATTCCAAGGTCTATGGAATCTGGGGATAACCATTTTTTAACTTAGTGGTTCGTGAGTTCTTAAACTTGTGATCCCCGGAAACCCCGTAGAGCAATAGTCTCAGCCTATGGGTGTGTACTTCGGGGTTCCGGGAAGATGGCCTCGAGCAGAGCAAACAAAGGAAAGACTGCCAGCACCCGGGTCCCAACTTGCAACTGCTGTTTGGACCTTGGCACTTTGGTTGCATGGCTAAGCAGTTGCAAGTAGGGATCCGGGTACAAGTGACAGCGATGAAAGTTCCGCCGAGCTCCCGAAGCCTGCTCCCTCCAGTCCCTCGCAAAGAAGCTCGGGAACAACTGCCAAACACTCGATTGAGGAATGCGTGCCCTCGCCGAGCTGCCGAAGAACTGCCGCTTTGCTCAGACCTGTTTCTTGCTCAGCTTCGTTGAGCTGTTTGGAGGGGGAAACTGGAAGGTGTTGCACCTCAAAGGCCATCTGGGGCCCCGGGATTCTCAGTGGAAAAAGCGCTTCTTTGACTTTGAGCGTCAAATGCCTGGTGCGATCCGATAGAGCCTGAACCCAGAAACCATCACTTTGGATGGCCCCTCGTTCTTGTGCGTGTGGTTCGTTGTTTTGAGTTGGATCCATTTCTTGCTTTCTTTCTTTCTTTCTTTGTTGGAGGGCGGGTGTGGGACTTTGAATCCATTTGGGTCTGTCTTCTTTTTAGTGACCCGCTTGTGTTTCTGGTGAAGGGAAACCAAAAGGAAACCTTTGCCGTTCTGGGGGTTTCCGGGTACGGCGCCCCCAAAAAACGGCGCATCTGGTTTGTGTTTGGTCCATAGAATCAAGAAAGGAGGCGACTTGCTTGTGGGGTGAAGGGGCCGAATGGGTCAGTCCTTTTTGAGGGACATGGTTCTTTGGGGTTCCGTTTAAAACCTCCCTCAATACCTGGCAGACCCCCAGTCTAGTTTTTCGGCCCTTAAAACCGATTCGAGGAATAGGTGATGTGTTAGTCTGAGCGCGGCCAAAATCAAAGCCGGGTGGCGGTGCCCGGCCAAGATCGAGCAGTTCTGAAGATAGGCCAAGTCCCACTTGTTGCCTTACTCAGCGCTTCCAGTTGCCACAATGGCAGGCAATGTTGACCCCGCATGAATAGACTCGCTTCTTTCTTTTTTTTGCGGGGTGTCCCCTTCAAAAGTGATCATTCCCCACTAAAAAGGGGTGAGTCGTGGCTTCTCCTGGCTTCCTGCTGTGGTGCCCGAAGCAATGAGTCTTTTTCCCTCGCTAGGTCTCTAAGTCAACAACCAAAAGTATATTTCTTAAAAACAAAAAGAAGGAACCTGTCTCGACGATCTGGGGCCACTTCGCGTCCAGGTTTACCCTTTAGGACCCAAGCATTCTTTGAGATATTTTCCCATGTTGCCACACCTGGAGGGCACCTAGATCGGCTTCCTCCACAGACTCACACGCACAACGCGCAAAATTGTTCAAAGCCCGGCGTCCAACCAAAGGACCGATGTTCGCGAACATCGGGCTAAACCGAAGTTGTTTTCATTTGTTTTCTCTCAATCTAACGAAGACCTTGCAAAGAGAACCCTTGCCACAACAGAATATGTGTCTCAACATGAATCTTGGGGGAACCCGACAGCCCAGAATGGTTGGTTCTCCTTCGGGTTCCATTCCAACCCCAAAAGGGTAGCCCAAAACAAACCCAACACAACAGGCCGATTTTTTCTCCCGGATGGGTTGCTGGCCACCGCCTCCGGGACCGTCTGCCAAGTGCGGTCTGGGTAGGCCCAGCCTGTCGGGCGAGGCTTGGAGGTGGGGAGGCGCCGCGGTTGAGCGGCTCGGCTTTACCTTTTTCAGGGCGCGGTTTTTTTTAAGGAAGGGCCACTCAGCGAGTTGTCACAATGCCGGCTTCCAGTTGTGTAGCGTCAGCCTTTTGCCGGCTACTCTAGTGTTTTGGCAGAAGGGAAAAAATGCGCTGGATGCATGAGAACATCCGCATCTCACGGGTGAACACAGGCTTTGAACTGCAAACTTTCACGCCCTAGCGCCATCTGGCGCTGCCAGTGGGGATTACACATGGTTTAGGTGGGAGCCCGCTTCATTTCGTCATTGAAAAACAAGACGCAACAGGAATTACGCACATACTTCTGACCAAACTGTGGCTTCTTTATGCGCTGGCCTGTGCTGAATTTTCAAAGCCATGCAAGAGCCAGCATAAGAACACACGTCACGGATGATGTTGCAAGCTAGCCCTGCCCCTGCCGCAAACTCACAGCCGAAATACACATCAACCGAAGACGCAGCCAACACGACTTGCTCACAGCGTAACATGGAAACAAAAGTCAACATAGTTTTGGTAACAAAGTCAACTCATATACCGAGCAGTATGAAGATCAGCGTTGCAGCCACGCGAGCGTAACATGATGTCTGCGGGGTCTGTAGGCTGCGTTGAGACTTGCACAAAGCGGATTTCTGGTTGGAGCGCAGTTTTCTGGGCCATGGGCCACCGACAGCCTCGGAACGGTTCAGAAGGGTTCTTTCATTTCCGGGCATCATCCCGGCACAGATGGGCTCGAAACATGGCACAGGTGTGCGCCACAACTTGCCACCTTCCAGAACGTCCAGGCCTCATTTTGCGTACTGTCCAGGAACGGTTCAGAACCTTTGTGCTGCTCAAGTGTTTGGGCACACGCCTGCTTGCACTGAGTTTGTCAACCACCATTTCAGCAAGTCTCGTCGGCACAGAAAGCTTGCGCTGATAGGGGCAAGGCCGCCGCCGCGCCAACTGAGGCCATATCCCCTTCGATAGCTCATGAGAAAAAAGCAAGCAAGGTTTCTTCTACGTTATATTTTGAATGCCGCACAAATGTTGCGAACTGAGCGATGCAAGACTAGAAACATCTAGAAACAAGGCTATCTTGCCAGGATAGTGGGTACAACAAAAACCTTGCTTCAGGATTCTGGGAGGCAATAGGCAGGAACACGTGGTGCATTTGCGCCGGCCAGCATGAATCTAAGGGACGACGCACTGTTTGGCAAAGCAAGTCAGCCCGCCAGCCAGCCAGCCGGCCAGCCAGCAAGCCAGCAAGCAAGCCAGCAAGCAAGCCAGCAAGCAAGCAGGCAGGCAAGGCTGCACGGCTGGGCGAAAGTTAAGCGCACAGATCGTGATACATACGCGAATCCTAAGTGCGTGTTGCGCTGCCTGCAAAGGAAAGGGTCATGTATTTTGCAAAATGACACCATGACTCACAGCAGACCGTACGCTGTCCTGGCACAATGCACATGAGTAACCTGGCGCAAGCTTGACTTTGATGTTCCAAGCGGGCACGGCCTCTTTTTGAACGGAAGCCAGCAGCCCACACTTGGGCAAAATAAGCCATACCAGCTGACTAATTAGGCGCGCCCACCTCTCGACACGCAGAACAAAACATCCACGGAAGCATGTCTGTCAACTTTGGGCTAGTGACTGGGTTGGTCAAAACTGACTGAACAAGTTAGAATCATTCGTTCCCAGTACCTCTTGGGTACCCCAATAGAGCCATTCCTGCGCCAAATGGTTTCGCCCAACAACATTATGTTACACACTTTCTTCAAAAGCTTCATTCAGGATGTTGGGGCTTCACCCAAGAGCGACCATGCAAAGCCGTCTTGTGAGGGACATCCCTCATTTAACTTTCTTTTCATCCCCTGCTCATGAGTGTTCGATAGAACCGAGACCATGTGTACCCTTTCTCATGCGGAAACTCCCATCCTTTGAGACACCACTTCAATTCGACTGGCTTCTGTTACCGCGGCGCATGTGTTAGATTTGCTTTCGAGAAAGGAAGTTCAGTTAAGTGAGGAAAGTCATGCTTCGCTTGGCGCGCGCATAGGCTTGCCGGTGCTACGTGGGCCACCCTGCGGAGCTTCCACGAACCTTCCGCGAGGTCTGCCGGCTGTTTTGGTCCTCTTGGCCTGCCGTTGGCAACCGCAACCGTTTTGCGTGATTTTGCCACAAGCCGCAAAATCCCTTCCGCGCGTGTGGCTTGGTGCGCATGTTGAAGAATCATGTCGCGCTCCCTACGGGCAAACAAAAATGCCGCTCAAGTGGAGTGAATGGTCGTTTTCAATCATCTGGGTGACTCTTTTTCAAAAAAAATAATATGTCTCTTTTCTCCGAGCCCTGCGCCGTTTTTGCTGCCCCCCTCCTCCCCAAACGCCCTTTTGCCCCCCCCCCCCCCCCCTCCCTGGTTGGTTGCGCCTCCAGTGAACCAGTAGCAGAGATGCGGCCAGGGCAACGCCATGAAGAAGTAGATCCCCAGCAGGTAGAAGTCGATGCCTCCCGACATCTTGCCGTGAGACGGGTCGCTTTCAAAGGAAGACCAAGCGTCGTGAGTGCAACCATGGGAGTGAGTTGTTGGAGGGAGGGAAACTCAAATCTTCCAAAACCAGGGTGTCAGCTTCCGTGATTGGAGGGAGGGTAGCTAGGCCCTCCAGATTTGAGAGGTGCTCGAATAAGTCGGTACCTTTTTTTTGTTGTTCTCTGTGGTCTATTTTAGTAGGGGAACCCTCCCAACCAAAAAAGGGGAGAGAAGGGCACTACTGGGGGACCTAGCAAAGGAATACCAAGCGTGGGTAAAACCGTGGGTGAAGTCATTTTGGCAAGACGTCCTCCAGTGAAACGGTGATTGTGTTTAGGAAAACCAACCATGGGTGAAATTGGAAAGGAAAACCAACCGTGGGTCAAATCATTGGGCAAGACGTCCTCTTGCCGTGAAATTGCGGCTTTGGAGTGAAACGCTGATAAAGGCAAAACTTAGTAAATCTGAGCCCTCACGATCCTTACTTCACGGCATGGGAGCAGTATCCACTGCCCAAAAAAAAAACAACCATTTCTGCGGAAACCGAGAAGTTTGGAGATTTTAACAGAAAGGTGGCAAAGGGAAGGTTGAACTGTCTCAAAAAGAATGTGAGCATCTGGCAGTCTGTTCTGACAGGGGTTCACCTCTTCCCCTGAAAGGGCGGTTTAATGTTATCAACTCTTCTAGCTTGAGTTTCCTCGTGGGGTGATGTTCAATTGGAACAAAACGACCCATTCGTAAGCACCAAAAGGTGTTCAAGGTCCCAATGGGACCCGTGCCAAAAAAGGCACCCCGTTTTCGCAAAGTGCCCTTGTCTAGCTGCTTTGTCCTCAGCACTCTTGCTAAAGGGAACCGAAGGACCAGGAAGTTTTTCTCCCAGCTTAGGGCTACTTTAGCGCATGCGGCTTAACTCGGGCAAACTAGCCTCCTCTCAAAAGCCATGGTTAAAATGACAATAGTGCTTGAAGTGGGTGGGTTGGGGGTAGGGGCCTTGATTTGATGTTGTTTCCAGAGATAGCCGAGTTTCGTGTTGGCTCCTTGTACTTTGTTCTGCTTCTGGCGTGGTCTCTATTTCGGGATTGGTTTCACGAGTCTGGCGCTGAGTGATTTTGATTGGTGGCCTTGCTGGGAAAAAGGCTTGGACACAGCAGCGTAGCCGCAGTCTCTACAACGGGATGTGGGTACGTTGGTGGACTTTGCTCGGCTGGGGGCGCAAACAGCGTTTCAAGTTGGTTTTTGCGCGTGGAATGGTAGCAAAATTGATTATTTATGGATTACTTGACGTGGGTGAGCTGGAAGCTGAATGGAAATGTTATAGCAAAACATAGCAACACTCAGTTTGGCTTGGAAAGCCGATTTGCAAAAGCGTGTCAACAAAGCAAACACCTAAGTCTCCCCGGCAAGCTGAAAAACCTGGCTTAACGCAGTAGAGGACACTTGTGATGTCAGCGGTCGGAATGGACACGCTGCGCAACGGGCAAACGTGCTATGGGAGCAGAGTTGGCTTCAATTGCTTGATCCAACAAGTGAGTCATAATCAAAACCTGGTACTAAAATGGTTTACCTATAACCATGTAAAGAATTAAGAAGGCGGCCGCAGCTATTTCTGGATGGGATTCTGGCTCAAGTGTCACCGGCAGCCACTACACAATATCGAAACACCGGGTTGGGGACACTTGTGTTAGAATGCTGTTTTAGGATAGCGCGTTAGAACAGGAACTCAAGCAAGTGTCGGAAGGCTGACAAACATAGCTCAAAGCTGCTGGGGTCATTTCTGCAACCATGTGAGGGTTGCTTGAATGGATACGTTGCACACTGGATTGCCTTGGACCCCTTCTTTGGCATAAGCCTTCCGACCACAAGCTGAGGAATCAGGTCGTTGCGCGAGCTGCAAAGCGCGACGAGGGGGAATGAATAAGAGGCCCACGCCGCAAAAACATACCGACACAAAAGGTTGGGGGCACTTGCGAACTGAAGCTTGCTACCATGCGAGGATGTTCAAACGTAAACCTTGCGCGGCAAGATGTTGGAACAGGCTTCTTTAGGACAAGCTGAGTCATACGTGTGCTGGGCAAGCTGCAAAACCATGTCAACAAAGCAAGAAAAAGACATGTGCACCCTGCAGGCAGCAACAATTTGCGCAGCGAAGGGTTGACACTTGCGGTCTGGGTTGCTGGCTAGCATGTGAGGTTGCTTTTGGGTCGAGCCGATTTCGGCCAGGGGCACTCGTAAGCGTTGAGGCTTGATGGGTGCTCCAAGTCGAGAAGCCAAGTGGGTTGCAAAGGGCCAACCGTGGACACCTCCGAGCCTCACAAGGAGCTGCCCACCGCAAAACGAAACCAATAAAAAAGAAACGGACTTGAGAGAATTCCACACAGAACCATGTCTGGTTCCCACGAGGAAACTTTGCGGATCGTCAACCAGCCCTTTGAAACACTTTAATTGACATCATTCAAACGGAACAGCCTACCCAAACAGTCGGGCCTCATAGCTGAACATGTCTTTCTTCCCCAAGTCAACCCAAATATTGGGAATGGTCTTTCTGGTGTCTCAGACAATCGTCCGAGTTTCCCTTCTTCATCATGTGGGGCATAGTTTTCACCCCATATTATTCAACCTCAGTTAACTAATAGAGGGGTGTGCCTGGATGACATGTGGTTGGAATCAGACCACTTTTGGAGGGGAACACCCGGTTCACCCGCATATTAACAAGCAGATTGGTTGATTAACATCTGGGTGTGGGTCAAAACTAAGCCACCCGGAATTGGACCGCAGGTTTTAGTCCGTTCCATGTCGAGTCCCTATTCGTTTGACCCACCCCCATTTGAGAGGACTTCCCTCCACAAAAAGCATGCCGCACATGTTGAAGGCTTCTTGGTGGGGTGAGGGCCAACCATTGTGGGTTAGGGGTTGACTCAGGGGGTCTTTTGCTTCCTTTTGTGAGAAAATTGCCGACCCTCCTCAAAAGGAATCCTTCACTACGAGGGGGTCGATCAATTGTCCACACAAGGTGGCAAAAAGACCCCCCTGGGTTGACTAAGCTGGGGTCAGCACATTCAATCCGCGCCTAGTAGCTGGGCCTTCTTCCTGGTCTTGTTGCGCTCTGGGCGGCTGTCTTGGTAGGCCCCCAGCATGATGAAGCCGAACAAGTCCTCCGGCCGGGTGGCGCGTTGTTGTTTTTTTGACGGGTCCCAGTGAGATACGTTTGAAGGGGAAAGGAAAAGGACACGCCGATTTTGCGAGGGACCCAACATTTCGGTGGGGAAACCACAAGGAAACAAACGAGTATAAATATATATATATATATATATGTATATCTATATATATATATATATACAGAGGGCACCGCCCCCCTCCCCCAATTCTGCCACAAAGTCACCGAGGCAAAACCACGTACATTGGAACAACAGCTCAAACTCACAAATCCTGTGTCTATGGGGGGGTACAATGCACAACTTTTCGTTTGATTCAAACAGAAACCAGAAGGACTGTGCTCGCCTATGCCCTATGTCCGATGTCCAAAGGGTCCATTTCCAATTGAAGCACAAAAGTGCCATGGACAAACGATTCCTTTTCTCGCTATTTTGTGACTGTCATCACTTCCTCTATGGGAACCACCTTTTAAGATTTGCTTGAGTTTCACCAAATGTGTATAGATATAGAGAGATACACATTTATGCATACATAGGTAGTGTAAGACGATGTGGGCCAGGCGACCTCCCCGCCCCGCCCCACCATTGGTACATGAATGAGGTCAGCTCACCCACCTGCCCTGAGCACAAAGCTGATTAAAAATCTGAAATCGCCAATCCCGAGTGTTCAATCGAGTCGGGGGGTTGGCCCTGATGGAAGATTCTCGGACCATTGTTTTGTGCAATCGTTGAATCTTCAGTCTAGTGGTTTTGATCGTTTGTGTAGGTTGGCTAGGATTGACAACGCTCAGGAGAGTTGTCTGTGCAATCTTCAATCTCCAATCCAGCGGTGCAATGCTTAGCAATGTTTAGCGACCCAGTGGAAAACGTTCAAGCTGTTCGACAAACTGTCAGGTTTTGTTAGTGAACTTGTCATCTTTATGTTGACCCTTTTCAAGGAGTACAACGGGTAGGTGCAATGCTCAACAAAACTCTTTGTTGCAGGAAAAAGGTCTGAGGTTCTTTAGACCATCGTCACGAAAAGGTAACAACTCGGCAGGGACACATGTGGGTTATATATATATATACACATAAATGTATCGCACTAACATAGCATCTTTGGGGAGGTACTTAGAAGATCACTCTTGGAGGGAGCCACGGCTAGGTACCATGTTAGTGGGAGGAAGGATAAATAATCAATTTTCTGTATCTATATCTGTTAACATGCAACCTCTCTCGCCCACTGCGATTTTGTGCATCAAGGCCTTGAGCCGACAGCATAGCGCCAATACAACAGAGTGATACACTGCCAGGTTGATTCACACACAGGTTTGCGCGTTCGGTGTTGGGGAAAAATAGTTTCTCCAAGAAGGTTAACATGGTAGCGGAGCAGTGAACACAGTCACACACCCGGGAAAGATGTGGCGTCGTTTCCGTGCACCGCACAAGGAATGGCGGCCCAACAGCAACAACAGCAATAGCAGCAGCTTCAAGGAATACCCAAGTTCAAGATAGCACCACCACGATTCACAGGAGAGTACAGAACGATTGAAGAATGGACGCACAAGGTGACAGCATACCTTGGACTACAAGATTAGGGATGGCTCAACGCAGCTCATACATCATGAAGAGGAATGCAATCCACAGCAATGGAGCAACAAGCTACCTCAACAAAAAGAACAGAGATTAACTTAACACACACCGCTTTTCGAGTTGGGTCAGCTACACACACACAGGCAGGTACATCTACATCGGCCTGGAAGACACCTACATTGACAACATACTGCAGGACAACATGCAACCTAGCACGAGAACTGGGAGTAGCACACACTAAGGGTGCAGCATGAAGCACAACTCGACCACGAACAAACAAGCAGTACAGGCGGCTTGTTGGCAAGATACAATAGCTAGCATACGCAAGACCAGACATTTGCTACGGAACAAGCAAGACCACTACAAGACTAACACAGCTCTGCAAACAAGAAGCTCAAGCACTTGATCAGGTACCTCAAGGTCGACGGCACACGAAACACAACTTGCGACCAAACGTGCAGATACAAAACAGGCGCGCCCCACGTAACATCGACACATACACAAATGCCAACTGGGCATCATGCGAGACAACAAGAAAGAGCAACACAGGATGTGTGATACGATTTCTTTGGATCAACAACACACTACGGCAGCAGAACACACGCAACAATAGCACTTTCATCAGCAGAGTCTGAACTGTGCGCCATCGGTACAGCACCACAGGAAAGTCTCAGCATTAAGAAGTTCATCAAGGATGATGTTAAAGTACGCACCAACATCAGGACACACGCAGACAGCAGCAAACTAAATTACAATGAGAGAAGGCACTCCAAACATCTGCGACACCTCTTCATGCAACAACTGGGAAAGAGCAAAATCATTAAAACATATTCTCAAAGGACAATGCTGCTGGCAAATTAACCAAGCTTGTCAGTGATACAAGACATGTGCACAACCGGCCTTTGAGGTCACTACAAACAGCTTCACACAGTTTGCGCTACACCAGTTTGCGCAGTGTGTAAACATCAGTTGCGCAGTACACATGTGTGGTTCACTCCTAAATCATCCGACATCATAGTTTAGATGCATCGCCATGGATCGACCCTCTCGCTTCTGCCACCTTTTTACAGAATTGACATTTCGGACACGTTTGCGGCACGACACCTTGCGCTTGTGCATCAGACAATGTTTTGATGCACGCCTGCAGCCGTCTTAGGGATACATATTTGGTCCTGGGCATTTGTACAGTCGTGATACATTTGTACAGTCGTGATACAGATCTTGACAAGTCCTTGCCTGCCCCGATGGACTTTCCACGGAGCGACACCCTCGAGTTGTTTCCAGCACAAGGCTGCGATGCACAGCATCAGACCTACAGGCAGCAGCTCAGCACAATTCACCGAGAATTTGAAGGCCATGTGCACATCGACAGCCATTTCTGTTGCACGCTTTCACCTATGAATCATGTTGTACACATCGACAGCCATGTCTGTTGCACGCTTTTACACAGGACTTCTGTTCAGGATCACTGGGAACATTTGGGCAATTCACAGCGAGTACAATCCGGCCACGGGATACATTTGGGTACTCCAGCTACGGAGAATCGTTTTGCAGCACCCGCAGAGGATCGTATTCATGCAGCAACAACCGTGGCCTCGAACTACATTGACAACAACACTGCTGGAGATACAGGAGTCAGATTCGGGATACGTTGTGGCAAACAAGATCACAGCGGGGAATGCACAAAACACGCTACAGCCCGGAACAACCTACTTTTTGGCCTACATCCAGGAAAACTTGGGCTAGGCCACATTGCCCCAGTGGCACACCGCATGCACGGTGCAGTTTTTGTTGCATACATCTGCTGATCCGCAAAGTTTGCATCCTCCTACATCAGATTTCTGGGTGCATGGATCAACAGCAAGGATACCGTTGTACAGTCACACTGCTTTTCTGGTGCATGCAACTTACATCATCTCGGACACAGGCCTGCATGAGTTTCAAAGTGTACCAAATGACTAGAATTTGCTCTCTCGCTCGCTACATATCTGCACGTCGAGGCCGGGAGCCAGCAAACTGCCAGTACAAACGAGTGCTACACTGCCGGGTTGATTCACACACACACGTTTGCACATCAGGTATTCAGAAAAACATAGAGAAAAACATAGTTGCTGCGAGTTTAACTATGTATGGGTGACCATTGTGTTTTTTTTGAGGGGGACCCACAAACTGCTGGTTTTCCTTTTGGTCGTCCTTTAGACCAACCCCGAAACTGGTTCCCTCAAGACAAACACACCCGTATATCACATGAATTCCCAACTGCGCTTTGGGCCATGAAAGAACCTTTCCGCAGTAGGCCCCGTTGACGTTGGTCATCTTCCATGAGGCTTCCTTCAAACGTCCCCTAACGTCCCAATATCCTGAGGAAACCCGATACATGAGATTTCCCAGAATGAGCAACGGTCTGTTTACCCACATCGGGGAGGCCTACAGCAAAACCACGGGCGCCAATTTTGACGTTGGCGTTTGCCAAAAGAGCCGCCGGAACGAGCCATCCGTGTGTGATCCGTCCTGGTCGTTGCCAATGGACCTGATCAGCGACTCGGACCAGGGCTGCACGCGTTGTGACGCGAAGGCGCTGCAGAAGGGCAGTGACGCCATTTTGGTCGGGTCCTGCGACCAGAAGAATGTTCCCAAGAGCCCCCCTTCAAGTGAGTCGCAATCAAAACTTGGTACTAAAATGGTCTACCCAGAACCATGTAAAGAATTAAGAAGGCGGATATCCGCAGCTAGTTATGGTTGGGAGTATCCGTTACTAACCTCCATCTACCCGGGTTTTGATTGTGACTCAAGTGGCTTGTAGGCAACCAAGGAATGAGTTTTAGCCTTGGGAATCAAACTAGCACAAGTCTTGAAGGAAACGGCATCGTTTATTGGGGGCGTTCCAAGATTCCCAGATCACATGCAAGACAAAACAATATTAGAAGGCAACCTGGGTTGGCTGGTCACAAGGACAATCACTTCCAGAGTAAATGAGCCACACAAAGTGTGAACCTGTTGTTTACCACCAAAATGGTCCAGCCCCCAAAGTGACTAAAGCCCGTGACTAGGTCCTCCAGATTTGAGAGGTTAGAATCAGGGTACCTTTTTTTTCTGTGGTCTATTGTAGTAGGGGAACCCTCCCCCAAAAAAGAAATGGTGAGGAAGGGCACCTGGCTGGGGGACCTTGGTGAACTCAGGGAGTGAGGAGAATCAACCAAACGGCTTGATCCCGAAGACCAGCAAGGCTTCGTTCAATTCAACTTGCAAACAACACTTAAAGCCAAAGCCTCCAAAACGCCGAGAAAAGACGCTGGACTTGTTCCTTTCAAGAAATCCGAGGCACATGACCGACATCTCTGCTGTTTTGGGATCTAGAATTTCGATTCCCGAAAAGGAGTCCTTAAGCAAGGGACCGCGATGGGCGGAATCGCTCCTTTTGCCACTCGGTGATGACCACACAAAGGCTGGGATGTCCTTTCAATTTCTTGCTTTGCTAAAACAAACAACAACTCTACCCATTCGCCCGCAAACACTAACAGTCGCAACTGAGGAAAATGGATGAACCGCCACTTTAAAACAGTTTCACAAATTGTTGTGAACAATTTGTAACACTGTCCAGGCAGAACTTAAATGACCAATGCTGTGGATGGGCATTTTGTTTAAGCGTTGAAACTGGCCTTTCATGTGAAACGCAGGAACCGGAGACCATGGGGCAGCTTAGACCCACGAAAGAAAAACACCAATTGGACGAGAAAAACAAATTGGATCACCCACCGTTCAGAAACCCGAGAGAATGACTTGCTGGTGCGATAGGGAATGTGGGAATGAACCGGTTCCCCTTCAAGGAAACCTTTCGGATGGTTGAAATCGGGGTCAGACTCCATTTCCTGAGTTGCTCAGTGACCCTGGAAAAAAAGGATTTATGGGGCTTGGACCCGTTTTAGTGGGGCAGGTGCCAGTGAACAACTGAGTTTCGCATTCCCGTGGCATCTCTCGCACCGATCGATCGCGAGAGAATCAGTCATCACAGTCCCGGCTCCTCTGGGTCGGTGCTCATAGCGCACCAGGAATAGTGGTCCAGGAGCACTCCTAACCTTGGTTTGGTTGGTTAGGGGGTGGTTTCCCATTTCCCCTCTACAAGAAGGGGTTCAAATCCCCACACCACCAATCCAAACCACCAGTATTACAGGTAGCTTGAGCAAATCTTGGTTGCTGTTGACCCCCTGCAAAAAGTTTGTCACTTTTTGGGGGGTTTAGTGGAACTTGATGTTCCGAAAAGTTAAAGTCTAAAGATCCCACCCAGCAGTCAAGTAACATCCAGAAAGCGTAGCACCGGTGGATGACCGCGTTCTCCAGGACAGCCCACCTGGCGCAGTGCGCGCGTAGTTCGTTTGGGCCACTGGACTTCGTCATTCCACATCTTCTTGGTTGACGTTGGGTTTGGGGAGCAAAAAAAAAAATGGCAGTTAGGTGGAGGTTTCAACCACTAAATTCCACAATAAGCAAAACTCAAACTGTTTCCCAAACCATGTCTTGCTGCTTCCAGAGAACGAGAACGGGGGAAACGGTTCTTGGATAAAATCGGGTCTGAAAAGGCAGGGAAAGAAGTCCTAAGGGAGTCGACACCGCTGGTCTGGGTAGGTCCCAAAGAAGCGCTTTCAGCACTTCGAATCCACAGACTGAACCCTTCCCAAAATATCGACCGTGTCCCTTAAACCAGGCGACATGAACTTTGCAACACGAGCTGAGAAGGACCCTTAAGTTAACATACTAAGTGCAAACGCCCATTCCATACGGGCCGATCTGATACAAGGTGGTTTTGGCTCCATTTGTTCTGTGAATATGGGGTATAGACAGCGTTGCTCCTAAGGTATTGAAAGAGTCTCAAGCATTTTCTGGCTGGTTTGGGTCTTCGTGTCCAGATTGGCGGTTAATGCGCCAACCATCCCCAAGCAGGCTTTCTTTTTTGCCTCCCCGGGAAAGTAAAGGGACCGGGTCCCTAAAAGTATTTTAAACAAATGGGCCTTGTTTATGTTCTTCCTTGTCCCCAACACCCCGAGAAAACAACTTGTTTCTTGCTCCAGGTCTGGAAAATCAAATATGAAACCGTCAACATAGGGAATCCTCTGTCCAAAATGTTGGTGTCCAGGTAAAATCGAAAATACATGGTTGGTACTGAGTTGGCAGCCAGTTCTCTCTTCGCGGGGTTCCCTTCTAGCCACCCTCTCTCCTTGCCCCGCCCCCCCGCTCCTTGAACATTCACTTCAGCCCAAGCTTCATGTCAACCCAGGATTAATCAACCACATTACTCAGTTGCCCAAAGGACCTGGAACTAAAAGGTTAACCTTTTGGGGCCACGACTAAATATGGACCAAAATGGGAAAACCAAAAGGTCAGATCCGGTCGATTCGCTTTGAACCACTGAGCTGTCGATGAATTCGAAGGGAGCTCTCCGTGGTTTTTCACTTTTTAGCTCGGGGTCAACATTCCCTGCCCCCCGCGGCTTCCACTTCCTCAAGCCCCGGCGAATGCGAACATACTACAGTGATAGATGTCCTTAACGAAAAAAGAACACGTCCAGGGAATATGAGCAAGAACAACACTCATTTCAACAAAAAAACTCGCTGACAAAATCTGCTCCCCTGCCTGGTGGCGTAATACGGAAATCCCATTCGTTGGCAAACAGTTGAAGTCACTAACATCCAATGGCAAAATGCACCAAAGGAAACATGACAAGGTCCTCCAGTAGAGGGTTGGAATAAGACTACCAACCTTTTTTTCCTCCCAACCAAAAAAGAAACGGGTGAGAGGTCGGGCACCAATTGCTGGACCTGGATGTCTCCTCCCCTTGTCTCGATCAGGCCTGGACATGGACCGCATCTGGCCCAGCGAGTCCATCACCGTCTCCTGGGCCTCCAGGACCTGAGCGAACCGTTTCGAAGCGCTGGGGACGTCCCCCGCTTCAGGTCCAGGAATGGTATAGGGATCCGGATGCATACACCGATCGAACATTGCAACTTGTAAATGGTACCCCACTTCCTTTTGGTGTTGAAAAAGCAACATGTTTCAAATGGGCAAAGCCCTGCGATACTGTGGATGGTTGCGAAATCCAGAAACCGCACCACTTGGAAAAACCATGGTTGCAACCATTGTTTCATTTTTGTATTTACAGGGGAATCGAAGATAGGTGGGAAGGGAATGTGTCCGCGAGAGCGAAAGAGGGGAAGTGATGGGAAGAGAAGGGTTAGTATTTGGGTTTGTCTTTTTTTTCGGCTGGACCCTAAAATGATGATTTTCCTGTTGGCTTCTCGACAAAAATACAGTCCCGTTGTTGGTTGCTGTTGACCCCTCTGCAAAAAACCAAACTGTGTATGGTTCCAACGGAAAACTCACCGCTTCCCAAAAAAGCTAACGTCCAAAGATCCAACCAAATAGCCATTAAGATGGGGTACACTGAACATGATGTTCTGATTCTGTTTCATATTTGGTCAACCCTGACACATAAATAAGCTCGTGTGATATCCCCAACAGCATGCGGTGCTCTTCTTAGTGCTCGCACCACCCGGCAGCCCTCGCAGAACCTCGTGGAACCCTTGTGGAACCCTGGTGGAACCTTACCCTCAGGGCCGCCCCGGACCCCGGAGCCTGTCTGGGCTGAGACCCCAAAGCTTTCAGCCGGGGAAAAAAACCATGCGGACCTTGAAAACAGCCCAAAGGGCCAAATCCTTTTGAGAATGGCTTTTGAGGGGTTTTTCAAGGGTCAAAGCCTCTGTTGACGGTATTCGGACCCTAGGGTAGAAAAGCAGCCAAACATGTTTGGTTGAGCCTCCCTTGATCAGCCCCGATCTATTGCCCCCGAGCTATCGCCCTACGGATGTAGCACCTGGCTCTGTCTCTTTTGGAAGCTAAGGGTACCCAACCACCCATTTTATTGGGGTACCCGATTTTTGGATACATGGCAATGAAGTTTAACAAGGGACCCTTTGGTGGACATCATTTAGATGGGGATTCATGTCCCAATCACTGTTGAGGTGGTTCCCCATTAAAATTCATGGCCATGTGCCAAAATCCCCACAAACCTGTTGGTTTTCCCTTCTGGTTTGGGGCAGCGAGCCAAGATCCCTGCAGCCCCGCCTGCTCGTCCGCCATCTTCTTGAGGGAGGGGTAGTCCACCTTGCCATTGGGCAGCACTGGCAGACCTGCAGGTCCCGGATAAATTCCAGAAACCTGGAGAAGTCTTTTAAAGGTTGGATGATGACTTATGTATGATGCGCCCTAAAGGTATGATACTTAAGTATCTTAAAGGTATGATGCATATGTCACCAACCTGCATAAGTCCCCAACTAGCAGTGATAATGTGGGTGTTTTCGTTTTTATTGGTTGGACCCCCTAACATGTACCCTCACAACGAGTCAGACACAGTCCTCTGCTGATATCCGAGAAAAACCCCGAGGGACCCGCCGCATTTTCCCAGCTCGCCGTGTCGTATGCTACTGGGAGTCTGACGTGTTTTCATCACTCGGGATTGATGTGACGCCGCCCTCCGAATTTCGTCCATTGTGTGTCAAGTCTTCAAGGATTTCACGAATCACCTTATCCCCTGATAGTTTACATTGGTTAGGGGCCGATCCCCCTTTTAGCGGGCAAAGGTCGGACAAGGCCAGTCCAAACCACAAACTGGGTACCTGACCACAAACACCCTTGGGAAAAATGCTGGGTATTGCAGCTGTACAAAATCAAAATAACTCAAACCAGAGAGCCCTGGAACCCTCGACATTTGGACAAGTCCTTCCAAGAAGTTTCGAACAATGCCAAGAAAGTCCATTCCAACAAATGTGTACGCATACGAAGAAAGACACCTTCCAAGACAGCCTTCCAACAAAAAGATTTTCCCCAAAAACGAACCTGCCAATAACATCCCACTCCGCTCAAGCCTGAGTGGGGTTTGAATGGGGGCCGCCCTTTGCTCGCCCAGGTCTGGCTGGATTTTATTTATTTATTTTGTTTAAACATTTCCACGAACATGCCATTGACATCACACCCATAAACTCCCCCGCCCCCCCTCCCGCAAGCCCCCAAAAAAACGTGTTTTGGTGGCCGGTGCTCGCCTGCTGGCCCATCCATTTCGGAGAAAAATCTCACGGACAAATGGGCGGGCAAAAACAATTAAGGGAACCCTCACCTCGCTTATGGAAAAGACTAACACCTGCGGTCCATATCCTGGTGGATTTATTTTTGACCCATACCCAAATTGACCTTTCCTTCGAATGTGGGGGCTGCAGAAGAACATCCTCCCAGAGGCTTTCGCTCCTTTTCCGTTCAGTGAGCCCGTGAAGTAATTTGTTGAAATGGCGATCATATGGACAACAAAAGGATGGGTGGTTGCTTCGACTTTCCCTTAAAACCATCCCCGAATAGGTGCCTTCCCATTGGCAAATTTCGACGGATCGGGTGTATTTGGTTTCTTTGCGCTAATGTGCAGGGGACTCGTGCGAAACACATGCCATTCTCATGTTGTCTTTCTTTTTCTATAATCATTTGGCGATCCCCCCCTTTCCGAGCAAACAAAAACGAATTTACGGGTCCGAGTTCCTTACCCTGTGACCTGGCTATAAGCATGTTTTTCAACCGGGCCCCAACCAAAAGCGGTTTACCGGCTTTATATAAGGGACGAAACAATTCCCAATCAGATTTACCATTGTTATCATGAGGCTATGACGTACCCAGACGCTTCAGTTAGTTTAGTGCTACCCCCACCCTAGCTTAGGTAAAGCCTTGGTTGACGTTGGAGGGGGAGCAAACAATTCAAACTTTAGCAGTGTTAAGTGGTAGGATTTCCACCACTAAAGTCCACCATAAGCAAAGATGGGAAAAATGTTTCCCAACAACCAGCATGAAGCTCTACCCCAAACCTGGCTTAGGTCGGTTGAGTGGTGCCCCTTTTTCTGGCTTAGGTCGGTTTGGTTCCCGAAAGCTCCTAGGTCCAGAGATGTCAGAAGGGTACCAACTTTTTTCTGTAGTCTATTGTAGTTCGGCACCCTCCCCCCAAAAAAGTCGGGAAATTGGGCACCCTTTCGCTGGACCGCCGGCAAAGCTCCCGTCCGTCCGAAGCTCCATCCGGCACCACGGAGATGGTCTTCGGCAGGTACGCCGGCATCAGCTCCCGGCGGCAGTGCTCCATGAGCTCCGCGGAGTCGATTTGGCCGCCCTGGGAGGAATGAAGCCCCACGCGTTTCGGTATGCGCCGGGGTTTCTCACCAAAAGGGGCCCCTGAAACAGGCGCTGCTTCCTCGTACAATGGCAAAGCTACGCCAAACCCATGTGTGGAGATATCTAGGCCCTGCTCCCCGACCAAAAGGAGGTGGTTTAAATACATTTAAGGGGGGGCTGGCCCACTTTTCAATGATACCCCACACCCGCTTGTGAAGGTCACTCTGCAAAAAGACGGTTTGTGGAAAAGAGGTAGCCTGCTTCTCGCTTGGTTTCAGAAACTACAAATGTCTGCTGGGGGAACCCTCCCCCCAAATTGTGGCGTTCCTATTGAATTTCGTAAAAACCATCACAAACGGGTACCAACTCAAGAAACAAAGGAAGCATCCATACTGATCAAAGTTGTGAAGATGCACCTCGGGAGGTTCAAACTCCTTGGATGAAGAGGACCATGGCATATAGTTATCGCCAACCGCCGATTTTCATCCGTCCAATCCCAAGTGCTGCGCACGCCTGGTAAACGAAGTCTGCAGTGGAGAACAGTGGAGCACTGATCATCATCATCATCATCATCAGCAGCATCAACAAATATCATCAGCAGCAAATATCATCAGCATCATGAATCATCAACACATTGCGTACGTACCTCGCATTGATGAGGGAACTCAGGGTGAGGGGCCACCACAACCAAGGAGCTCGCCTGAATTTGGCCATAAACCTGCCTTCAGGTCCTTACGATTGATGCGGGTAAGCGTCTAAAACTCAAAAGCCGGGGTTTGGAGTTGGAGGCTTCTTCGCGGGAACCCCTCCAATTCCTTGTGTGTTGCCTTTGCTTGCAGTTCCTTGTTGCGTGTTAACCAAAGGCCTTGTTGTTCTACTCGGCAGAAAACACACGCACTGCAGAACACGAACCCAGACAACCTGAAGACAGCAAGCTTTGCGTGCGTTGGGTTTCGGGAAACCTCGTTGGGGTTGAAGGCGACATTAACGTTGTAAGCCGTCTTGTAATCTCCTCTCATCACTTTCAGGAAGAGTCCAGTCAAGAGATGTTCCGGCCATGTTCCAAGAGACGGCTGCGACAAAGCCGACAGACAGAAGTGACAGGTAGCCGTGACAGAGCTCAGCTGCGACAGATCCTAACAGACAGATGTAACAGACACAGTAGCTCTGGACAGCTGGCAGTGTGAAGCTGCTGGCCGGCTGTGATAGGCCGAAGTTTGCGGCAAGCTGGTGTGGCTTTTTCCAGAACCAGGTTTGCAAGCGCTCCAAACACATATGACGGCGCGTTACGCCGCCTTCCCGTCCCGGAACTTGCGCTTTGAACTTGCGCTTTGCTTGTTGAGCCGTTTGGCTGCTGCTCAAAGATGCGGCGGCTTGGCTGTTTGTTTGACAAGACCCAGGCGCCAGGACAGTTGGCTCTTGGGGTTATCGATCACGTGTCCTTGCAGGAGCTTGCCGGGTCCATCAAAGCATCGGAGTGCCCCGATAAAGGGGATCCCCACCAAACAAGAAGCGTGATTTTGGGAACAGCTACGGCTGCTATTGGTTCGGGGTCAACGATGCCGTGGTTCCAGTTTTTCTTTGAGTGAGTGTCTTTGCCGTCGCAACAGCCAGCATGCTTGAGGCCCCGCACGCAGTCGGATAGCCTTTTTGGGGGCGTGGTTGCAGTCTAGTTTAGCCAATCAATTTCCTAGGTGGGAAAGGTTCGGCCCATCTGTCGACAAAGCAGTTGGGACCCGGGTGCTTGGGGGCCCAACCTTCAAGACGAGCCCCCCCCCACCCCCCACCCCCCCCGCCGCCAAAGCTCCAACTCCCCGGCCTTCGGCACTACAAAGGCCACCAACTGGGAAGTCTTCTCAGAGGCCACGACGGCGGCCTATCCGATGGTCCGACGGGCGATGAGATTCAAGGATGTCCATCTTTTTGCTTGGGGACCCTTTGAGCAGCGGATGTCCATCCCTAGTGAAATTCATGGCCGCCGAGGAAACCACCGGACAAAAATGCGGCAAGCGGAGAACAAAAACACAAAAGGACCAGAAATGGCGACACCTGAACTCAAAAGCCACCCAAAGACTCGCTTCGACACCTCAAGGCTCTAGTTTTGATCGCTTCTTCAACTTGCATTTTTTGGGCAAACAACCACCCTTCTTTTTCCCAGAAGCTCCTGGGGCTTTCAATGGAAGACCCAGACCCTCCATTGGACACCCCGAAAGTGGGGTGTTTGGGTGTCTCAAAACCTGGCTATTTGAGGGCCCTAAATGTCTCCCA